TCTCACAAACTGGGGTCTGTCTGTGAAGCAGTCTAGGATCCAATCAGACAGGTCGTAGTCCACTCCAGCTTGTCCCTGAGAAACCGCGGCTTGAGAGGCTGCTACAAGAAATTTGTTGATGTAAGCTGCGGTAAATTTTTCTTTCATTTTTAGTAGATTTACATGTCATTTTACATCATCACACCTGTGTGGGGAAATTATAAGCAAACAATTGCAGAAGATTTAGGTTCAGACTACTTTATTTATCCCACCAAGGGCATTTTGTCTGAGCAGCACGGAGCAATTTTTTTAACACAAAGCCTGGAAATATAACTTAAGACAGAAACAGAATGAAATATGATATGAAGTGGAGCCCATACAAACATATGAAGTCCATATCACGAACAAGCTAGAGAGTTAATCGGTCTAGCAGTTGGGACATTACTCCTAATAAAAAAATCCTTCAGGTAAAATTTTTCAAAATGCTGCAACACGAATAATTTACATGCTGTTATGTACATTGAGGGCCTTCAATCTCAACCGAGACAAATAGTGGTCTAATGAATATCAGAATAATTAATAAGGTATTTTGATATTAGCAGAGTTCGATCTCTGTTTCTTTCAACCGTTTCAAAAGGTTTTTATTGCACCATTTTATTGTTGTAATATGTGCTACAGGTCGAACATTTGCTGAAAGGGCGTAAAAACTTGGAAGTATGAAAGGAAACCAGTAATGTCTCAAATTTATTCTCTATTTTCCACATTCCAGAAGCCAAGGCCAAAGTTTTACATTAACAAGACTCTGTTGCTTTAGGTTAGCAAGACACAAGGCCACGTAAAATGGTAGTGAAGGCCACAACTGTCTCGCCGGCCAGATTCTATAAAGTCATAGTAGTTATATCAGATTCATTTCAAATCGGAATGCAGGTCCTAAACCCCGAGTGTGCACCAGAAACAACGATACAAAAACACAGCAATACATACCTGTTAGAAACTTTCGCCTCTGTGAAACCGTTGAGAAAAGTGCTTATACTGTACAATAAAGTGCAATATCAACAATGTTTCATTGGTCAATCTAATCACAGTGTGTTGAGAGAAGCGGTTAGCTTGGCAAAATGTTCTGCATCTCAAAGAACAATTTCTTCTAGACGGAAGTAGCTGGAGTACAACCTTTCCAGGTTGGCTAGAAGAGCTCGTTGTTCTTTAAGTATTTTACTGATCTTTATCTATAAAATGCATTTCCCAGACTAAGATCACACAAAGCAGTTAACATTATGGAGTATCGATATTTTTAGCAGAGCAAACCACCTTGTTCAGAGCTTTCCTTTCTTTGGCTGCAATTTTACCGAACTACACACAATAGAACCAACAAGCAAACAATCTGGAGCAGCCATAAAAGTTAAGTGAGATCTTATTGTTTTATTTGCAGGACTTAGTAGTATAAGAAAGAATAATGTATTGCGATATACAGAACATAGACACCAAGTTAGACAAAACATCAACTTCAGTTCATAAATTGACATACTGTAAGTCTGTTTTAGTTGTAAAGAAAAAGGAATACTGCCATAGTGTAGTTTGACAGAACCAATATAGTGCCAAGTGACCCTTCAACAGAAAGTGTTTCTCCGTCCCTGATAAGTACTGTACGGAGGGTCATACTCAGAATTCATTTATTTTCACATAAAATAAAGCCGCAACACTCAAAGTCAACACTTGCAAACTGAAAGTGCACCTCAGGCCAAAGAGTTTGTCATTAAGACTTCTCACCTGTAATTTGTCCCTTGACAGGCTTACCCTGTTCAGCTCATTACATTAATGAAAGCCAGTGACTTGTGAGCACGGAAATAGCGTTCACAGCTGCAGCAGGGGGGCATAAGGTCGCCGTGGTAACTGGAGCTGGGATTTCATATGTGTGAACTCAAACAAGCAACACCTGATGCAATATCAACAAACAAGTTCCGATTTTTTAATTATGATGGCTTTTGATAACTTCAAGCTGGATAGAAACATCTGCTCACACAACTTTTAATCAATGGTACAACTTTATAATTGGATTACATGTTCTGAAGCTGTCATAAATAAATAATAAATAGAAGTGGTCAAGCCTTGTAGGCACATAATGAGGACAAGGTGCAATTAACTGTAATATTAAATTAGAAATATCCAATAGATTACCGAGTCATGTCAACAAATTTCATGTAGTTCATGTAGTTTCAAGTGTTAAATTTGACTAAAACTGCAAAAACTGCTAAAATGATGCACACTGGTAAAAATATAAACTCAGTGAACCGACACCATTTCGGTTTTAGAGATTTGGTGGTTCATGTGCAGTCCCTTGAAAGGACAATCCATGTTTGCAATGTTTTCATACACACACACCACCCAAAACCAATCCATAATATTCTATACATATTCTCAACGTTTGGGTCAGTAACCCTTCAAATTGCGAGGACATGGATACCTCGTTCGAATTACAGTACTCGTTCAATGCTTTTCCCATACACAATTACACAGAAAAAGTTTTAGTGCAGTAAATTCCTTACAGTAAATACATAATCGTTGATTTAGAAGAGTATATAGAAAAGTGAATACAAATCCAAAGTTATCCAAAAAATGTTATGTTACTATAATATTTAAATTATGCTTGCAAAGTATTTCATTACTTATGATTTTATTGAACTTAGACTGCTTTAATGATTTGTTGTGAGAAAGGGTGTTTATCAGTCAATCAATCACTGGCTCTTTTGATCTAGGAAATGCAACACTAAGTGCTTTACAGTTTGTTAAAAAAAAAAAAACAATTCCACATGCCCATGATTCACACACAGGTAAAACCCCCAAATCTAGGGCTGGGTGCAGGTGTAAAAGGTTAAGGTATCTAAAAGGTAAAGTTTCACTTCATTAATCCCCGTAGGGCAATTCATCCTCTGCATTTGACCCATCCTGATGCTGCTAGGGTTTACCTCAGCAGCAGTGGTCACCGTAGTACAGCGCCCAGGAACCCATCTCCAGATGTTGATGCTCAGCTTGGTCAGGACTACCAGAGCTGGAGAATTTAACCTAGAGGGCAAGTTTTTATTGGTAGGGGAAACCGGAGCCCCCAGAGGAAACCGGAGCACCCAGAGGAAACCTACGCAGGCACAGGGAGAACATGCAAACTCCACTAAGAAAGACCCTGTTCCGTCTGGGATTCGAACCCAGGATCTTCTCGCTGAGAAGCAAGATTGCTGTTCTCACACCATCTCGGACTGTTTTTTCGGCCTTGTGGTTAAACTACTGTTTGCTACAATATGAAAAATACTGTATGTTGGTATTTTGGGGAAGCTTTATGCGAGCTGTTGCTGCAATAATGATTCCATGAAAAATGTAGTTCACATTTTTATATCTGTCCATTTTTTATCTTTTACTATTCCACGAGAATGACTGGTAGTTAGTGTTAGCATTTGTATGTGTTGGATGTATGGCTTTTTGTAGGCTATTTTCAGTGATGGGCGGCTACAAGCTTAACTAAATGTTTCAGTAGCTTGACAGTAGCGTCACCATTTACAAAACCAAGTAACTTTTCTGTAGCTTAGCTATTTTATACCATTTTCCCGCAGCCGTAATACAAACAAATTAGGATGACAGAATGAGCATGCATAGGCCTTGATGACTACACACACACAGTGACGGAGTAGCCCTGTCAGCTCACGGGTGAGAGGAGGCCATGCGCACACACACACGCTCAAACAAAACTTACCCGTTTCATTCACTCCCTGTTGCCCATGCCCCTCAGACTCCAACACATTTTTCAATTTTCAGAGGAATGCCCAAGCACCTACACTGGAGCGACCACTGGAAGTGCACATCTTGGACTACTTACCTCTGGTAGTACTAGAGTCGTGGTTCCTCCAGCGAGGCCGCTGGGTGTTTCCTGTAACACACAAAGGGATGCTGGACTCGAGTGGAGATGTCACGGGGGTGAAGGGCCCGTACAACCCTATTACTGTCCAATGGGGAGCACTCTATTAATTGACATTCAACACAATCGAAAGGAATAACAATTTTATTTAGGCACAATTAAAATTAATTATTAATACTATTATATAAAAGACTGGGTCCCAATTTAATAATGCTATTTAAAAGAGTCGTAAACGTCGTGGTGCGCCCCTCAAAAGCCGGTGCGCGCGCTGCTCCTGGTCTGCTCGGGTGCGCCGCTCCCGTCCGCCAGTGCGCACGGGTCTCAGGGCACAAAACGATCCACAGCAGCGGGGCTGCCTGTGTAGAGAGGGAGGGCCGTCAACACACTAGGCCAGTGACAGGGGGGAGGCTTGGGCTGGTGGTGGTAGGGGCTACAGGCCCGGCTCACACAAAAAGAACACAGCACTCCAAAGAACTAAAATAGCCACAGCCTTATTCCCACAACCACCGCCAACGAACAGGAAAGCCACTTAGCTGCGAGGAGGGGGGTCGCCGTACTCTCCCCCTCCAGTTCCCCACGACGCCTCCTGTCACCGGTGTCTCCTCCTCTGGTCCACTCCGCCAGGCTCCGTGCGCGATGTCTCGTGCGTGCTGGTTGCTCTGTCCCGATCGCTGCTCGCTCTGCCCCGTCTGCTCACTCCTGCTCCGGACACCTCTCCCATATCACACTCACACCTGTGCTTTCTACCTAATTACACACACGCCCATCACACACGCACACACGCACGCCCATCACACACACGCCCATCACACACACGCCCATCACACACACGCCCATCACGCTCCCTTTGTCCACCTTGTGACATCCTCCCCCACTAATATGTTCTAGTCCCTGGAACATCACTCATGCGGACACAGGGAACAAGAGGTCTAGTCCCTAAATCTTGGAGGCCGCACCCCCATGTTGGGCCTCTGGGACCTCCTTGGTTCTGGTGGGGGCTCTGGGTCTTCTTGCACACCCCCCACCAGGGGCACCATAAATCCCCAGTGTGGCAATGAGGCGCCACGATTATAGTCACCTCCATGTTCCGCCTCTGGTTGTATGTAGTTAGGGCATGGTCTCAAGTTGTTGCGATGGATGACTCTTTCAGGGCCATCTCTTCCTTCAGGACGCACACTATAATTTGGGCGTTCGGGGTGGAGCCTGGTTACAACAACATGGGGTCTGGTCTGCCAGTGGTCACCCAGTTTCCCAGTCTGTCGCCTCCTGTGGTCACGCACCAGCACGCGCTCTCCCGGTAAAAGCGGGGCCTCCTTTGCAGTGCGATCATACAGTCTTTTATTTTTTTGACCTGCATTCTGAAGGCTCCTTGATGTCTTCTCGTAAGCATATGTCAGTTGCTGTTGGTGCCTAGTAACCCAGTCTGTAGCGTCCATAGGGGCGTTGGTGCTAAAACCCCCGGTCAAGAGGTCAACTGGGGTCCTCATGTGGCGGCCAAACATCAAGAATGCTGGTGCGTATCCTGTAGAAGCATGAACAGTGTTGTTATATGCTTGAATTAGTCCAGGTAAGTACTCCACCCATCGCTGGTGTTTCTCTACTTCAAGCGTGCCCAACAGGTTCAATAGAGTCTGGTTTAGCCTTTCACAGGCTCCGTTCCCCATTGGGTGATAGGGTGTCGTCGTTCTACTCTTAATGCACCCGTAGAGCTGACAGAGTTCTTGGATTAACCGAGACTCAAAATTTGGCCCTTGGTCCGAGTGTAACACCTCAGGGCAGCCAAATGGCTGGATCAAGTAAGTCCACAAGGCCCGTGCTGTAGTCAAGGCAGTTTGATCCAGGGTTGGGACCGCCCATGCAAACTTTGTGAACAAATCAGTCATGACTAATATATTTTGGTACCTATCTGTAGGGCGACTTAAGGTCAAGAAATCAACAGCAACAATGTGCATGGGGGCTCTCGCTACAAGTGGCACTAAAGGGGCCTTACCGTGGGGTCCGGGTTTGTGCAGCATGCATCGCGGGCAAGCAGATAGCCAGGTTTTGACCATGTCCTCCATTTGTGGCCAATAAAACTTCCTTCTTAACAGAGTCAATGACTTCTCCAATCCTGGATGCCCCATCTGTTCGTGATATACAGTCCATAGGGGCCTCACCTGTGATGTGGGGACAACAATCTGGGCAAGAGTCTCTAGAGTCTGGGGGTCTTGGACAATCCGACATAGAATCCCGTCCCTTAACTCTAGTCTCCTCCAGTGCCTCAACAAGATCTTGGCAGATTGGGTTAACAATTGTCTCTCGTTAGCGCACAGTAGGGTACCTCTTTCAACGTGCTCCTTTATGCTTTGTAAGTCGGGGTCTTCATTTTGTAGACTTCTCCAGCGCTCTGGGTCCCACCTCCAGCTATTGGGCGGAGAGTCCATAGACATAGTCTCTACTGCCCCAACCAGTCTCTCTTCTCCGGCCAATTTCCGGTCTGGGGGAGCAGGCAGTCTAGAAAGGACGTCAGCATTAGTGTTCTCCCTGCCTGGCCGGTATCTGATGGTGTAATCGAAATTTGCCAACTGTGCAGCCCACCTTTGTTCGACAGCCCCTAGTTTAGCAGTCTGCAGGTGCACTAGTGGATTGTTGTCTGTCACTACAGCAAACTTAGCCCCCCACAAATAGTCCTTGAACTTCTCAACTATAGCCCATTTCATCGCCAAAAGCTCAAGTTTAAAAGAGCTATAGTTTGAGTCGTTGCGCTCAGCGGGATGTAAACTCCTACTCGCATATGCTATAACCCTTTCGACCCCATCTTGTACCTGGGCCAATACAGCTCCAAGCCCCGCATTACTAGCATCTGTGTATAACACAAATGGGAGTGTGTAATCCGCATACGCTAAAATGGGGGCCTGTAGCAATTCCTGCTTTAACTGCTGGAAGGCAGCGTCGCATTGGTCGGACCACTCAATAGAGGGGGAACGTCTGCCTCTATTACGGCCCGTGCCAACTAAAAGTGCATTTAGGGGTTTGGCAATTTTGGAAAAGTCCCTTACAAACCGCCTATAGTACCCCGCAAATCCTAGAAATGAGCGCACTTGCCGTATCGTGGTAGGGGGTTGCCAATTCGATACGGCTGCTACCTTGTCTGGATCTGCCGAAACTCCCTGGCTACTGACGACATGTCCTAGAAACTTGACCTGCCTCTGGAAAAGCTGGCACTTCTCTGGGCGGAGCTTAAGGCCATACTGCCCCAGGGAGCGGAATACTGCCTCCAGGTGTTGGAGATGCTCTGGGAAGTCTCTGGAAAATAGAATCACATCATCCAGATAAACCATAGCAGACTCCGCTAGCCGATCTCCCAAACACCTTTGCATCAATCTTTGAAAGGTTGCAGGGGCATTGCACAACCCAAATGGCATCCTCTCAAACTCGAACAAACCAAATGGGGTTATGAATGCGGTTTTTTCCCTGTCTTCCTCCTCTACCTCCACCTGCCAATAACCGCTGGCTAAATCCAACGTGGAATACCACTCTGCTTTAGTCAGGCTAGTTAGTGAATCTTCTATTCTGGGCAGGGGGTAGGCATCTTTATGCGTGACACTGTTAATTTTGCGGTAATCAACGCAAAAACGCCAAGAACCATTTTTCTTCTGAACCAGAACAATTGGGGCCGCCCACGGGCTACAACTCTCTCTGATTATTCCCCCGTCTAGCATTTCTTTAAGGAGGCTACGGATTTCCTTATAAAGGGTAGGGGGTACTGGCCTGTACCGCTCACGAATGGGGTTAGAGTCACCTGTGGGAATCCGGTGTTTCACAGCCCCCGTTCGTCCATAGTCTTCCTCGTGTATCGAGAACACATGACTCCATCTTCGCAGTAGTTCATTCAATTGTCTTTGCTCATCATCTGTGAGTCCATCTCCTTTAGAGAGGGGAAGGGCATTAGTTGTCTCATTCACCTCTGGTTTGTCCGGATCAGCAGTGTCGACCAGATTAACCTCCACGACTCCAGGACCCACATTCAGAATGGAGAGCTCCTTCCCATCCCGCACCGCGTCAGGGTCGACGGCCGAGACAGTCGCCAGCCTCTGGAACCTGCTGAGCGTTAGAGCATACGGATGGACATTCCTAACCCTCACTGGAATGCGCGCCTTTCTCACAGTCACTAATGCTCTGGCCACCCCAACTCCTCCATCTTCCCCAAGGGGTTCTACCAGCGCACAGCCTGGCTGGTTTGAAGAGGGCCGGGGGATTTTGGCCCAAACAGTCATTTCACTTTGTGCGGGTATGGTTACAGGAGTACGACTGGCTAATCTCGCTGTAGCTTGCCATGGCTCTGCATTAGCGGCAGCACGGATGCGTTGACAGTCGATAAAAACAGTGTTCCATTCCCTGCTCAGTGGTGGCGTCGAGTGTTTGGGGGAGGCCTTGTACTGCGTGAAAAGTTCTTCCCAACAGTCAGTAATCACGTTCATCCCTAGGATGGCTTTGTCTGCTCCAATACACTCGTCCTTAGCCACTACAATGCCACGTGCAGGTACCCGGACCCCATGGATTTCAAAGTCGGCCACCATGTACCCTACCCACGGGAGGTTAAGTCCGTTCGCTGCCCTCAGAGTGAGCCAGGGAATTTCATCACTATTACGAACTTGTTTGCTCCTAAAGAGCTCGTTGCATACACTCTCACTCTCAAACAATGTTACTTGAGACCCTGTATCAAGCAGACACTTCACGTTTATCCCATCTACTCTCACATCCACTAGAGGGCAGTCTCCTGTGAGTTTAACTCTTGAACCATTATAAGCTGGGTCACTTGGAAGAGGTCCGGACACTTGACCCGCAGTGGCCGGGGAGCCTATAAATCCTGCCCAGCTGGTTTGGAGGGGCACCTACGACTGATATGACCAACTTGTTCACATAAGTTGCAAATGGGACGGCCCTGGGGGTCCCACCTGAATCTGCCATGGCCATATGGGGACCTTGGTCTTGGGCTTCGGTCCCTGTATCGGGGGGACCCAGAAGTTGGAGAATTAGGTTGAGGTCCTGCTGCCCCCTTTAACTGGTCTAAAATAGTCCTCGTCATTTCAGACATATGCTCTCCTTTACATCCTTCAGGATCTCAGCACGCAGCTCTTGTTTCCAATCAGTACCGTGTGAGCTCACGGGTGTGGTTTTACTCACTGCTGTACACTCGAAAGCAGGCCATTGCTGTCCTTGTTCATCCTCCAATGCTAAAGCTTCCATCTTTACCTCATCGAAGGTGAGCTGGGGGGCTTTTCGTACCTGCCGACGAAGCTCTTGCCGTACTGGTCCTTCTTTAAGGCCCAGGATGAACTGGTCTCGCAACACCAGGTCTCCTTGCCCCAAGCCCATGGTGTCTTTTTGTTTAAGCCTGGAAAACAGTTCACGCAAGTGTAGAGAAAAAGACCTCAAAGTCTGATTAGACTCCTGTCTGCAATTAAAGAATTGTGTTCTTAAAGCGGAGACATGGGTGTTGTCCCCGTACAGTTCAGACAGTGCATCAAATATTTTCTTTGGGGTGTTTCGATCTCCACGATCCAAAGCCAAAATTTCACGTTTTGCTTCTCCGTCTAAAAACCCTATTACAAAGTCTGCTTTGTGTGCGTCCCTTACTTGTTGAAACGTGAGCATAGTCTCTAATTGGGATCGCCATTCTCCCAACCTAATCTCAGATCCAACCCCGTTAAATTTAGACACCCAAGGTCCTCCCATTAAAAATGGCATCATCATCATTGGCTGCGCACCTGCGTGCAATTCCTCGGTTGACATGCCTAATTAATAGAGGCTCAACCCAATTGGACAATCCTGTCAGCAACGCCACTTGTCACGGGGGTGAAGGGCCCGTACAACCCTATTACTGTCCAATGGGGAGCACTCTATTAATTGACATTCAACACAATCGAAAGGAATAACAATTTTATTTAGGCACAATTAAAATTAATTATTAATACTATTATATAAAAGACTGGGTCCCAATTTAAAAATGCTATTTAAAAGAGTCGTGAACGTCGTGGTGCGCCCCTCAAAAGCCGGTGCGCGCGCTGCTCCTGGTCTGCTCGGGTGCGCCGCTCCCGTCCGCCAGTGCGCACGGGTCTCAGGGCACAAAACGATCCACAGCAGCGGGGCTGCCTGTGTAGAGAGGGAGGGCCGTCAACACACTAGGCCAGTGACAGGGGGGAGGCTTGGGCTGGTGGTGGTAGGGGCTACAGGCCCGGCTCACACAAAAAGAACACAGCACTCCAAAGAACTAAAATAGCCACAGCCTTATTCCCACAACCACCGCCAACGAACAGGAAAGCCACTTAGCTGCGAGGAGGGGGGTCGCCGTACTCTCCCCCTCCAGTTCCCCACGACGCCTCCTGTCACCGGTGTCTCCTCCTCTGGTCCACTCCGCCAGGCTCCGTGCGCGATGTCTCGTGCGCGCTGGTTGCTCTGTCCCGATCGCTGCTCGCTCTGCCCCGTCTGCTCACTCCTGCTCCGGACACCTCTCTCATATCACACACCTGTGCTTTCTACCTAATTACACACACGCCCATCACACACGCACACACGCACGCCCATCACACACACGCCCATCACACACACGCCCATCACGCTCCCTTTGTCCACCTTGTGACAGAGACACTACAGTGATCTTAAAATTCCACCGTTCCAACCTAGTGAGGACATTGAAAACTACCTGCTCAAGTTTGAACGTACTGCCAAGACCTGGAGATGGCCAGAGACCGAGTGGGCTTGCCGTCCCTTCCCACTCCTCCCTGGGAAGGCCTTGGGTGCATACACGGCAATGGATGAGGAGGAAGCGCATGACTATACTCATCTGAAGACTGTGCTTCTCACCAAATACGATATTTCCCTGGAGACATATTGGCAGCGCTTTAGAACCACTGGAGTTCCTGCTGGACTCATCGTCGTGGAGCAACTGCTGTGCGTTCTTCCGCCGGACGTCCGAATGTGGGTGATGGAGCACAACTTGGAGGACGGCCTTACAGCAGCAAGATTAGCTCTTCAGTACCATAATGTGCATCGAGGGTCCACGCACTTTCCCAGTTCGAGTCAACGTCCAGCACCACCACCGGGATCACCTTCTGCACTACCCCCGAAACCAACCCAAGATATGAGAGGTACCAATTTCCAGTCAGCACCCGGTAAGACCCTGATTTGTTTCTATTGTCAGCAGGCGGGACATAAAGCTTCAGTGTGTCCCCTTTGTAGGGGTAAGCTAACTGGGGCTTGCTATGCTCCTCGACCCGAGACTGAGTTAGTAGGAACCAAGCAGACAAAAACTGAGAAACTGGTGACTGTTAATGGACAGCAAGCTATGGCACTACTGGACAGTGGGAGCTTCACTTCCCTAATAAAAAGAAGTTTGGCTTCTGTAGACAGTATAGACCATAGCGCTAACCCAGATGTTGTTTGTGTCTATGGAGACTGTCACCTCTACCCGAGATCTCTTTAGAAATGGATGTATGTGTAAGTGTATCTACCGACTGCAGCTGTGGTGGACAACTTGCCAAAAGACTTGATACGTGGGACGGATTTTCCTCTGCTGATGGACTGCAAGGAACAGGGAGTGACTTTAGGGGAAATTCAATGGGTAATGTTGCATGTCCGGCCTAAATGCGTTCCCAAGCCCAGGTTACTGGTGTCCAAACTCTTCCAGATTTGGATGGTAGTCTGTGCGAGGGAGGGTCTAAGGGCCCAGGTAAATCCAAGCAGGTTGACTGTGACAGACACTAAGGGGCTTATTGCCGATGGATTGTGGATGTACCAGGGGACATTGCTTGTGTGCAGAGGCAGGATACCTCTTTGAAACATTTGTTTTATAAGGTGGTTGGTAGTCCAAACCTGTATCCAGCAAGGAACAGTTTGTTTAATGAGGGTCGCAAACGTCTTGTTATCCCTGCTAGTGTGCACACACTTTCCTGGGCTGGAAATTTAGGCCATCACAAAACATTCCTGCGGGTCAGCCCATGGTTCTTTTGGCCAGGCATGTATACTGAAGCCCATTCCACAGAATTACCATAGAAATAATTGGTTCACTGCCACGGAGTGGTCGAGGTCATCAATATGTCCTCGTGTGCAATTACGCCACCCGCTTTCTGGAGGCCTTTCCTCTTCTGACGATTACAGCGCCAACTGGTGCAGCTGTACTCACCAGTCGGGATCCCTATCGTGTTCCCCAGAAGTTGGTCGAGCAGCTGAAGAGGGAGATGGAGGCCATGATGCAGTTGGGTGTGATCAAACCACCCAACTCTGAATGGTGTACCCCGGTTGTCATAGTGTATAAGAAGGAAACTCAATGCAGTCACTGAATTTGACGCGTACCCAATACCTCATATTGCAGGGCTGCCCGATACATTACCACCCTTGATTTGTGCAAGGGATACTGGCAGGGGCCTCTGGATCCCAGCTGTCGTTCCTACACAGCCTTTCGCACTCCAGCAGGCCTATTCCAGTTCACGGTAATGCCGTTTGGTCTACACAGGGCACCTGCAACGTTCCAACGGCTGATGGACAAGGTCCTTGAGGGCTGTAGTGAGTGTAGTGCTGCCTACATCTCAGGCACTTGAGGAAGGTCTTGGGGAAGATCCAGAGTGCAGGGCTCACCTTAAACGTCAAAAATTGTGAGTGAACCCAAGAAGAGGTACGGTACCTGGGCTATCAACTCGGCCATGGTGAAGTCCGACCCCAAGTCGACAAAGTGGAGGCGATAAAGAACTGCCCAAGGCCCAGAACCAAGAAAGAGATGTGGCCTTTCTTAGGCCTGGCTGGGTGGTACAGACGTTTCGTTCCCCAGTTTTCCATTATTGCCTTCCCCCTCCCCACACTGACTCCGAAGGACCAAAAGTATCCGGTGAACTGGACTGAGCAATGTGAGGTAACTTTTAAGACACTCAAAGACTTTCTGTGCTTCTCACTTGTCCTCCGAAGTCCAGATTTTACCCAGAACTTTGTGGTTCAAGTGGATGCCTCTGCCATGGGACTGGGTGCTGTGCTAGTCCAAGGAGATCTAGCAAAGAAAGGCTCATTCTTTACCTGAGTAGGACGTTGCTGCCAAGAGGAGCGAGGTACTCCGTGGTGGAAAAGGAGGGTTCTGCCATCTAGTGGACCCTCGAGAGTCTATTATTATGACATTCCAAATGTTTCTATTAGTAGAGAAATTGTTATGATTTGTGTTGATTGGTTTTGGGGGGGAAGAGCTTCAGGGTATAAGGGAGGGCTGTCAGAGCCACAATGTGTGTGGAAGTTGGATGAGGAGGAAGCTGTGCACTGCTGGCCCAAAGCGGCAGTGCTTCCCAGAGTTGTTCTCCCCGATGCCACTGGTGGTCAGTCCCTACACATAGTTTTTGTCACTATTGTTTTTTTCCCCTCACTTACTGTAGCAAAAATAAACCTCTGCACTAAAGAAAAAGAACCTGGCCAGACCATATCATTTTGTTTCGCATTTCTTTTGAGAACCCGCAACACACACACACACACACACATGTGCACGCGCTGCTGGAGGGAAGCGACAGGATGGCAGAGAGCCCAGGAGCCGCAGTCAAGGAGGAGTCTCAAAATTTTAAACCATGGCCATACCTCCACAAATACATTACTGTAGTCGAGAGGCGCGAAAAGAAATATGTTTTCAGATGCCCTCTTTGTAATCGACGTCTGCAAAATCTAACACAAACATGAGTATGTTCACAGTAAAGTGTCAATTAAAGTATCTGGACTTTAAAAGGTTATAACTCAACAACTAAAATTATTATCATAGATTCATATTACATACACATATCAGAGACCAAGTCATGTTCCATTCCTCCTGCACTTGTAAATATTTCATGTTTGTCTCAGATATTTACCACTTATTGTTTTGCTGTTTGTGCTGAATACACTTAAATAATAATAACTGTTTCCAACAAGAAATCTGTCTTCATTCACAGCATCACAGTTAAATGAGTTTAGAACTTTCACATAAACCTACAGTAGAAACACATGTAATGGTCTCAAACAGCTCGGTTTGTTATTGTTTTTGTTCTGAAGAGGAGAATGTAGCAGCGTAAATGGGACCGCTTTGGTTTCCAAACTCCTGTGAGATAGCCATCACATGTGACATGATTTATTTAAAAATGACTTTTGTACAAACATGGTGCAAAGTTATTCATGATTTGTTGAAAAATGTTAGTGGCTAACTAGTTAAAATGGGATATTTAACTTTTTATTACAATATTTTATATGCATATACACTGTTTTTATTGCTTGTGAAGCACTTTGGGTTACACTGTATGAATTGTGCTTTATAAATAAATTTGATTTTTTTGATTGATATTGTGACTTCACAAGACTGTCTAGAAGTGATCATTTGAAAACGGGTTAGGGTTAGGGTTAGGTCTCTAAGTGTGCACTTAGAGAAAATATGAAAAATAAAATATATTTATTGTGAGAAATCATTAAGGTGATCAGTGTTTCCACAAAGATAAGTATCATTAATTATTAATAATAACATAGAGTTAAAAGTAAATTTGAGCAAATTGGTTATTTGTGGGAATTTATTTAAGTGTGTATTTAAGTCTGCATGAAACTTCACACCACCTCAAATCTCACTCTTCTCACACTTGTAGCAAAAATTGGTGTGACCACAAGGCAGACAAGAAATTCTGAGACAATGTGGAAAGTATGTAGGTATTTTGGGGAAGCTTTATCAGGCCTGTTGTACTTGGTGTCTTTCGACAGCAATCATGGCGTCAGTAGGAACTGTAGTTCTGATTTCTGTGGATCGTTACATGGCAATTTGCAATCCATTGCATTATCCATCGAGAATAACCGAGAAGGTAGCAATCAGCATTTACGTTTGTTGGCTAGATGCTTTTTGTACGCAAGATTTAGGTTTATATTGACAATTTTATAAATCAAGGCAATTATTGCCTTTGCCATGGAAAATAAGAAAGGGATAATGTACAGAACTCTGCATGCTATACATTATCCCGCTTATTTTATGGCTTTGTGTCAACTGAATACACAAAATAAACTGCCGAAAGGTTTATTAAAGTATTGACTGCAAATAGTAGTTCGCAAAGGTTTTGCCATGGCTAGGCAGCTTGGCCAGCTACTTCAAAACTAGAACTCTCTCGAACAGCAGTGAGTGACCCGTATATAAACTAAACCTCAATCCATAATCAGCTCTTTTGCAAATGTGTCCTAAATATTGGTATTAAAAAGGGATAGTCTGGAACTCTACAATAATTACAAATTGTAACAATTGTTTTAAATTGACCTCCTGGCCTTAAATGTTGATATAAAAGTAATTTTATGAAATATAATATTACGGGTAAGTCCCGCCTTCCCTTATCTTAAGGCACGGTCACATAGGTTTTTACAAACGAACTAGGCCAAGTGGCCCGGATCGTCGCCACAGGGGTGTGAAAATGGCCTGCAGTCACATGAACGTGTATTCGCAAACGTTCCAGAGTAACTGTGCTGTAGTACAACTCTCGGTCCAGCTGGTGGCGCTAATACTAACTCCAGCGACTACCTCGTCCTGGTTGAGTTTCTGTTTCTCTTCCTGTTTACGCTCTGCTACTGGAGCTAACAGCTCGAGTATGAATCACGTTTTTTAGGAAAAGACACATCTCACACTTGTCCACATTGCTCTGATGCAAAGTGCAGTGCGTGGGTATCGTGTGTGTGTGTGTGCACGCCATGGACATTAGTGTACACACATTCTTTAGTAACGAGCGTAAGAGCGCTGAGAAATGAATGAATGAGAATGAAAGAATGAAAAGTGTGGCTTTTCTCGCAGACAGAAGTAGTGACAGGCGCCGTGTTACTGAAAGCCTGTTGACAAATCTGAAATACAAACCCAAATTGCGTTGCCATGGGCACCGGCCCTTATCGATTTGATGGTAAGCAAGTAATCTTTATTTATGTAGCGCATTTTTACAGACCAAGATCATCCAAAGCACTTCACAACGTTCAGAGTTTATATATTATTCCATTCCCTTCACACGGTGATGACGGAAGCGAGAAGTGAAACAAACTGGCGCATCAAAGCCTCCGACTAACACCATTTATTCACTCACTCACTTGCTTACCTATTGTGCATGTTTTTAGAGATAGGGGAAACCGGAGCACTCAGAGGAAACCTATGCAGACACAGGGAGAACATGCAAACTCCACACAGAAAGGCCCTGTTCTGACCGGGATTCGAACCCAGAACCTTCTTGCTGGGAAGCGAGAGAGCTATCCAGTCAAAAACCATGTTACCCTGATAATGGAGAGGTACATTATCAAGAAATAATGACCGTTAGGGGGTTTTGAAATGACATTCAAATCAAGGGAGTATTCTACTGCAGTGTTTTTCAACCTTTTTTGAGCCAAGGCACACTTTTTTCACTGAAAAAATCTTGCGGCACACCTCCAGGAGAAAACGTAAAAATGTATACAGTACTAATGTAAAAATATATACTGTACATACTCTGTGTGATACAGTATATAAAGTATATCTTATCTTATCTTATAATGTATACAGTATACTCTGTAGCCTATATTCACAATATACAGTTATTCTCATCAAAATGCTTAAGTCCAGGCCTTGATATTAAGCTTTATTTAATATTTCTCGATACAATTAACAAGAGTTTGGGAATAAAGTGGCACTAACTGTGTGGAAAAAAACTAAGAAAATCCACTCTCTGCCCAAATAGTCAAATAATAACTCACACAAAGAACATGCATTGTTAGTGCATGGGAAAAATTTAGGTATCCGAGCTTTAAATTCAGAGTTTTGGATGAGGGACACGGGAGGTCCTGAACGCGAGTCCATGGTTCTGTCCGGTCCGCATGTCTGTGGTTCTGTCCACTCGACTATGGTCTGCGCTCGGTACCCAGTTCAGAAGTGCGTTCGCGAGAGCTGTTGTACAAAAATTGTACATTTCATAGTTAAACCACTACAACGCGGCCACAGCTGCCCCGGGGCAGAGCGGAGGATGTTAATCCTGTTCAGAAACGGCATAATTCATTTTCAAAAACGTCTCTATCACTTTCACTTCTCACTCGCCACAAAGCTCTTGTCTCGCTCCCTCCCACATTTGTTGGTCGCATCCAATTTTACCTTTTTCGCCACAATGCTGACCTGTTACAGCCAGTGGTCGCATCCAATTTTTCAGTTTCAAAGTACTTAGCTATCTGCTGCCATCTACTGATTTGAAAAAGTATTACATGGTTACTCCACAGTTCAAAACAAGTCACTGCTCGTCAACAGCGAATGCAGTTATTTTTAGACAAAGTAGACGAATTTCTCACGGCACACCAGACAATATCATACGGCGCACTAGTGTGCCGCGGCACAGTGGTTGAAAAACACTGTTCTACTGCTACTGTGAGTAGATAAACACATTTAACAGATGATTGGGCAGAAGCACCAGGGGACTGGATGAAGGCGTTGACCTTCAGAGCAGTAAAGAGTTATATCTGAGCTGGATTAGTTAGTCTCTCTAATAATGGAACCAGTCAATGGAGAACTTTGCTACCCGCACCTCCCCAACAATTCATGTATCAAATACCCGTCCAAAGTATTTGAGGCCAGTCTAGTAAATATTCTTCTTGCTCTTCTGTCCACACTTACTGCTACTCTCAACCTGCTTGTCATCATTTCTATTTCACATTTCAGGTAATTGAAAACATTTATGCAAATAATAGGACAGAACTGATTGATATATGCATTTGTTTCTCTTCTTGCAGGCAACTCCACTGTGCTGCTAACTTAATCTTGCTTTCACTTGCTACCTCTGACTTTCTCATCGGTCTTGTAGTCATTCCAATTTTTACAACCATGTGGAAAATATGTTGGCATTTTGGGCAACACATGTGTGGCTTGGTCTATCTAGGGCCTACTACTGCCATTATGTCTTCAGTAGGAACCGTAGTCCTGATTTCCATCGATCGTTACATTGCTGTATGTGATCCACTGCATTATCCCACGAGAATGACAGAAAGGGTCGTCGGCGTCAGCATTTCTATATGTTGGATATTTGGGTTTTTATATGCATTTTCTCTTTACATCGACAGAATAGTATATGAAGAGAAATATCAAGTTTGCATTGGAGAGTGTGTGACCCTG